AAAATTTGACGAAAGCCAGCTCTTAACCTCGACTAGGCATCTCATAAGGGAGTCAAGCTCCTTTTTATCCCTACTTTTAAAAGGGACATAAATCTGAGTGTCATCAGCATAAAAATGAAAAGCCACCCCATATTTACGAAAAATTGATCCTAAAGGTAAAATATATAAAGAAAATAAAATAGGTCCAAGTATAGACCCTTGTGGAACTCCACATGTCAGGGGTCTGGAGGATGAAAATGTCTGACCAACATTAACGCAAAAGCTTCTGTCTGACAAATAAGATCTAAACCACTTAAGGGCAGAGCCCTGAATGCCCACTAATCTCTCAAGACGAGAAATAAGGATTTCGTGATCTATAGTGTCAAAAGCTGCAGTAAGGTCAAGAAGCATAAGGATCACAGAGTGCCCCGAGTCCCTAAATAACAGAATGTCATTCAACACACGTAGCAGTGCAGACTCAGTACTGTGATATGCCTTAAAACCCGATTGAAAAACTTCATGAATACTGTTGAGCTCCAGATAGCTCTGCAGTTGTGTTAAAACTGTTTTCTCCAAAATCTTAGATAAAAAGGGTAGCTTAGAAATAGGTCTAAAATTGGACAACACAGATTTATCCAAACTAGGCTTTTTCAAGAGAGGTTGCACGACGGCATGTTTCAACTGAGAAGGCACCACACCAGAAACAAGACTCCTATTTATAATGGATAAAATACTAGGGCCAATAATCTCAAAGGCTTGCTTAAAAAACTTTGATGGAAAAATATCCAATGGATAGCTGCTAAGTTTGATCTTGCCTACTGTATCAGTCAGAGATAGAAGAGAGACAGGTGTGAAACTAACAAGTGCAGCAGGGGACACATCCGGTTCCGGAAAAACAATATCAAAGCTAGCAATCCCAGACCTAATTGAAGAAATCTTCTCCGTAAAGAAGTTTAAAAAAAGCTTCACATGTATCACATGACTCCTCCATAACAACATTAGACCCAGGGTTAATCACAGAACTTATGCAGGAGAATAAAACATCAGCCTTATTTTGATGAGTACTGATTAATTCAGAAAAATATTTCCTCTTAGCCTCCTTCATAGAACGCTGATAATTAGAGAGAGATTCCTTAAAGATCTCATATGACACCTGCAGTTTATCTCTCTTCCACTTGCGTTCAGCCTTTCTGCAGGCCTGTCTAGATGCCCGAGTTGTCTCATTTAGCCAAGGCTCTGATCTAGGCTTAACAGTTCTAGTTTTTTCGGGGGCAACAAAGTCTAAGATTGAAGAAAAAGAGCAATTGAACAATTCCAGTAACTGGTCAACATCCATATAAGAGGGAGGGTCCTCTAGCATAGTTGTATGTTGTTCATTAATGTACAAATCTTTAAACAGATCAATAGAAGAAACATTAAATCTACGAAATCGCCTGAAAACAATAGGAGAGTTGCTTATTTTATGGGTAAAAGTGATCTCAAAAGTGACTGCTTTATGGTCTGTAAATGCCATATCGTCTAATGCAACATTGCAGATTGATAGACCATATGTCAAAACACAATCCAATGTGTGCCCCTGGTTGTGAGTGGGCCCTTGCACATGCTGTGTCAAATTAAAAGAGTCAATAAGATTTAAGAAATCCTTAGCTAAATTGTCTTTTGGGCAGCAAACATGAACATTAAAATCACCCAAAATTAAAATATTATCATATCTAGGTAAAATACTGCTCAACAAGTCCCCAAACTGTTTAATAAAGTCTTTAGTAGACCTAGGAGGTCGATAAATTAATGCACATAGGACAGGTCCTGAGCGTTCATTTATCTGAAACATCTGTAGCTCAAAGCTGGAGAAAGCATCAGCACGCACGGGCTGGCAATTAAATGTTTTTTTAAAAATCGACGCAAGACCTCCCCCTCTGCCAGAGCGCCTCGGATTATTAAAATAAGTGCAGTTTACTGGGACAAGTTCAGAGAATGGACTAAGGTCCCCATCAACTGCCCATGTTTCAGTCAGAAATAAGAAATCCAAATCTCTGGCAGTGAAAAAGTCATTTAATATGAATGTCTTATTCAAAACGGATCTTACATTGACCAAAGTTAATCTTGTAGGTACCTGGTGGTGATCGTTTTCCCGTCGTATTCGTCGTAGCTGGCAAAGATTACTTAAATCCACTCCTCGCCTTCGACAACGCGGCGAACAAATCCGCGTGCTTGCTTCACAAGAGGTTGGAAAAACAGAAACCAAGCACTGGATCGGGGGATCAGATGTGCGGTAAGGAATAATCCTGTAAAAATCCGGTATGAGGTCCGAGGAGAAACGAGCCCTGCAGTTCATCCCTGCATCCGACAAACGCACTTTAAGACTAATTAACAAACCACCGCGTTTACCACGTTTTCTGCGGCGTCTTCTCCGAAAGAGGATGCATGGAAGCCGGCATAGGTGAGCTGGTAATGACAGTGAAGCAGGGTGATTGTAGGTGCAGGATCCACTCGGCTCGCTGATCAGCCGGTTTACCATACCATTTCTAATGTTCAAGAGCGTTTGGCGATCATAGACCAACAGAGCCTCAGAATGTTGAGCCACAAAAAATAAAACTAAGATTAATCTTAAAAACAACTGTAGAGGGTTCAGTTGCGTAAAAGGGCTGGAAGGGCATCCGCTGCGTAAAAACTTGCTGGATAAGTTGGCGGTTCATTCCGTTGTGGCGACCTCGGATTAATAAAGAGACTAAGCTAACAAGAAAATGAACGAATGAAAATTAGTTGATTAACCATTTCTAATGCTATATACAAATATCTTGCAGCCAATTTAGATTTTCCCACCTTGTATTTTCAGAGTATTTGGTAAAGGTTTAGAAGTCTATAGATTATAGATTAAAAAATATATTTTTTAATGTCTCTCTCACGACTATGTGCATATATTTAAACAGCTTTTGAAAGCAAAATCCGGACATTTTAGTAGATTTAGAATACCCAGCCGGATGTAAAAAGGCACATCTCAGTGGGCCTGCAGGGCAAGTGAGGCTGTCTGTGGGAGTGTTGACAGTTATCGCACAGTACAAAATGGGTAAACGAAAGAAATTCCACAACGTAATCAATCGCGGATGTTTGGTTGTAGTGGACGAACACAAAAAAAAAAGTGTAAAAGGATGATAATAATACAAAAACAGTGTCACTAAATATACTTGGTGGCCGTTAATATACCTGTAAAAGTCTATGTGTGGGAAGCACTGCAATCCCAAAATTTCTTAACAAAAGTAGTTCCACTCTTGTTCTCCCGCTCAAAAATAACAGAGAGAGTCGATATCAGGAAACATTTGATCCTGATGGCCTCATTTGTGCTCTTCAGAAACATACAGGAGACGTCACCGACAATACATCCATATATTTACGCAGTCTATGGCTAAAACCAGCACAAACAACACAATACTCTTTAACTATCCTTATCAAGAAATCCCCTTAAACCCTACCTGTCGACATTGGGATGTAAAAATACGAGAAATAATACACACCAAGATGGACATGTTTACTTAGCAAGTGTATTTGTTGGTTAAGTGTCTTCTTTCACTCCTCTTCAAATCGCATGTACAGAAGCTGACCTGGAAACAGTGTCTTTATTACTACAGAGTGCGTCTGTCTTTCAGCACTGATGCATAAATTGACTGATTCAGAGGTTGCATACACTCTCAGAAGTGAAGTTTCATAAACTAATTTTGAGAGGAGCACGTGATATGATTGAGCATGACTGGCTGCTTATCTTTAATCAGGAATAATCCAATCAGAGGGATCCAAGCTTACAATAAATGGATCGTTTTTTCCCCACTGCTCTATCTTTGTTTTGGAAGAATCCCCTCTTCCGCCCCATCTCCTCCGTTTCCTCCCTTTTCTAAGGGGGGACTCTCGAGACCTAGCTGATCTCGGATCCCCTTATATGCTTATTGACCAGTTAGCCTTGCGCTCAAGTATCTCCGAGCTAAGGGTTCTCTCCTGGGACACCATGCCAAACCTGCTATTAACGCTAAGCATATCTAAGTGGAAACTCTTGAAATAAAGGGACAAGAGCTGTCACTGGGGTGGTACCTTTTCAAAAGGTACACATTTGTACTTAAAGGGTCTATATTGGTGCCTCAAAAGCATATATTTGTATCTACAAATTATAAGAGGAACTTTTTAGGTACTAATATAAACCCTTTAGATATCTATAGGGACTCTCTAGGTACAGATGTGTATCTTTTTAAAAGGTTCCACCCCAGTGACAGCTCTGGTACCTTTATTTCTAAGAGTGTAGAAAGGGCGACGATCCACATATCCACAAAAAGGGGCACTGCTTTAATGAATAGGAAGTGACTGCGGCCATTTTAATATTGATTTCAACGCCAAAATAAAGCTAAAAGCATTATTTTCTTGAACAGCTCTTGCAATTTGGTGTTTTTTTAATAGAAAGATTAAAAACTTAAAATTCTTAAATGGGATAATGATGGGATAGAAAGGTAAAATACAGAAGAAAAACTGGAGGTTTGACAGGTTTGCCATAAACATATTGTGTGGTTTTCTTCACTCCCAATCAGATATTGCAAACAAACTCATCATCAACAACCTCTTTTTGAGTCTGATTTAAAGGAGAAACGTTGCTTTAAAAGTTTAAAAAGAAGTGACGTTGGTGGCCCATCTGCTGGTTCTGCCCAATACTAGAGGGGTGATAATCCTGCTTTAATGAAGTGGAGGTGTGCCAGGTAGCCACTCTCTGTTTAGCCCCGTCACTCATCAAGCAGACATTTATAGCTGAAGGCGAGAGGGGGAAACTTTCTGACTCTTGTTGACGGATCAAAATGTTTTCACACACACGTGCACACACACAATTTCACGCTTTCTAGCCACTGCCCAACACTTTACACTGTTTACACACACACTCGCTCACTCGCAGTGCTGGCGAGCGCACGCTGTAGAGACTCTGCTAAATGGGAAATAAAATATTAATCCAGCAATCACCTTCAGAAATTGAAAACAGGCAGAGCACTTACCATTTTATTATTGATTTCGTGAAAATGAATTTCACAGACTTTCTCTACAATGTCTTCATTCTCGAACGTTACGAAGCCGAAGCCTGCGGAAACACAGAGAGAAAGAGAAACAGAGGAAGAGTCAGTGGTGCACCTTTTGAACTCAAAACTCCGACAGTTTTTCAGGCCTCCGTCAGAGAGAGAGAGAGCGTGGGGAGTTCAGATCTGAACGGACATTGTCTTTTTTGAAAGCCGGCCGCTGATGAAATCTCTCTCACGACTGGGCAGACGAGGGGGAAATCGGACAGCAGAAAAGCACAAAGACTGTTAATGAGATTCATGGAGCCACATCTGAATTTCATTAAATGCGTTCTGCGCTGCCTTCATTGAAATTTCACCGTATAACAAGCTCCCGTTTTAATGTAAATGCGGGGCTGGAGATCCCTGAATCTGTCTCCGACCGTGGGATTGTCTTCTTTTTTTCATATTTATGAAATAAGAAGTTTAACCCATTCGGCTCATCTGGGCTTAACAAGGATCTGTCTGTGCTTTTATTATAATGAGAAAAAGAGAAGCGCTTTTCGCTGCGGCTCACGAGGGAGAATGATTTTCTATTCCTGGGTGTTAAGAGTAGGCCAACGGTGAAAACACAAAGGAAAACAAGCCAGAGAGGAAGATAAACACTTTACTCACTGTTTGTTTATAAAGACAGGATGCTCTTTCAATGGCGCACAAACACCATTCTGACGGATTCACGAGAGCAGACTCGCAGAAAAGCTGACGGCTGATTGAAGCAGACGCAATAAACTCTGCTCTGATGCTGCTAATGGCTGCTGTTTGTGTTTTTGTGGAGTCTAGCAGAGATCAGGCAGACCTTTAATGAGTCACGGGCTTTCTGCATACTGTACACACACACACCTACACGACTGTGAGGATTTTTTACTGCTATCCAGTATCTAAACCATCTGATGTTGGAGGTACTACTCATCATTTCACAAGGAAACATCACATATACTGTATCAAATGAAGTCAAAATTTTCACAGTATTTTCTATCATATTTTTTTCCGGCTAGAATGAAAGCAGTTTTAATTATTTTATTTTTTACTATTTTAAGGTAAATATTATTATCCCCATTAGGCAATAAATATTTTCAATAGTCTACAGAACAAACCAATCGTTATATAATGCCTTGCTAATTACACTAACTTGCCTAATTAACCTAGTTAAGTCATAAAATGTCACTTTAAGCTGAATACTAGTATCTTGAAAAACATCTAGTAAAGGTTTACAGCATTTCTCAACAGCAATTATCAATCTGGAAGTGGCTGTCAATATCATTTTAAGTGGCTTACGGAGTGTTTTTATGATGCACAACTTTGATTTTGAAAGGTTTGTTTTAAAGAGGTTATGCTTCCGTCAGAGTCCGTTTAAGCGCGAGAGAAAAATGCTCTCCTAATTCAGTGACTGCTGTCAGATAAGATGCTGAAATGCAGTGTAAGACCTGACCTGACCTGCTAGCTGTTATACTGTAATCAGCAAATCGGGAGCCAGAAATGCCAACTGACCCAGCTGAGACTCAAAACAGTGACCTTCTTGCTACCCACTGCGCCACCGTGACGCCCAATTTATTTTTATGTCTATGTAAAATTGATTTGTATAATGCTGCACTGCACTTATAATGTCAGAGTATGTGATTGGCCAAGGACAGAATAAAGGTCAAGACAACTAACCTATATTCAAGTGTACAGATATCTGCTTTCTATGACTTTTCCAAAACCTTGTGGGTTTTTCTGTTTTTCCAAAACTTTTCCAGGCCTGGAAAATGCCAAGTCAAAATTCCATCACTTTTCCAGATTTTCCATCACTGTATGAACCCTGCGTTTATGTTTATGTTATGCTAGTTTGTACTGTGTAGTATTTACCAGGGTCTGTGTTTTTCTGTCATTTCAAAATGTCACTTTATTTTCACTTTGTGACACTTTTTCAATCCACGTGTTAGTATGTGTTTGTGTGTGTCAAACATTTTAATTAAACCCAGTTTGCGTTGTTTATATATTTGAAAAAAAAGAAAGAAAGAAAAAGTTGACTTCAGTATTGACGATGCTCCATTTAAAATGCATAATATGAGGGTAAAATGACCCGCACTGGTTGTTTTTCATTCCCATTAGATCGCATTTTTTAAATAATCAGTCCATGAGGTGGAGCTGATCGACAGCAGTATTAGTGCAAAGACATTAAAAGCAAGTAAAATAGATTAAAGCCCAATGCCAATTCTACCCCTTAGCCCTTCCACTTGCCCCTACCCCTCGTTTTGTGCATTCACGTGAAGGGGTAGGGGTGTCCCAGTTCTCTTTAGCTTGAAGGCCTAGGGTTAACGGGAAGGGCTAGATGGCCCTTGAAGCAGAGATTTTTCAGGACCACACTCAAAACCAAGAGGTAAGAAAATTTCCCAGAATACACCAGCTACCATGGCAGCATGACAGCACACGTGAGTCAGGAGATGCACAAGTTTGTTTTTTTGTCATTATTATGAATTTTTACAACAAACAAACTAAAAAAAATAATAATAAAAAAAAACATTAAAAAACTGCTAAATTTCGCTATCTATAATCCATAATAATAACACCCAGTAGTCCCACATCATACTTCATATCTGACACTCGAATACCCTGTCAGAAAGTCTAATAGCTGGGAATGAGCTTTTTACAGTGGCTAGTATAATGTTAATGTTGTTTTCGTGTATTTACATAAATGAATATGGTCACGGTGTAAATACACAGTACAGTTACGAGCTTATTACCACATTATATCATAATGATAACATGATATTATTACCTTCAGTGACTTCCTGGAGATAACATATACAAAAACAGAATTGGGAATGGGCCTTAAACTACCATTTCAAAGCTGTCCAAATGTCACACTTTACATGCATCAAGCTGCCGACCGGAAGTCGAAGCATCCTGCTTACGCATACATGCAAAGCATAACGGGTAATTTTGCATTCTTTGAAAAAGGTCTATAGAGTATAGGTTGGATTTTTTGTATTTCTTGCACAACACCAAGGTTCTTCCTCATGAGGAAACTACTGGAGTCATTTTTCAAAAGGCGCTGTTGTATTTTGTCCTGACCCTAATTCTTATCTCCAGCTTTTAAAGATGAAAGATCTGTGTAAGGCTCTTCTCTCCTCCAGTGGTCAGCTGGGTGTTGGAATAAAAGCGTGGGGTCAGAGGTCAAGCACAGTAGACTGTAGCAGTGTGCGAGATAAAAGCAGATAAACCATACCACAAACACAAAGACGCTCTCTAACAATGAACTGGAATACAATGCTTCAGGGTTCTTTAATGGGTTTCTTATTGCATATGCAAAGAGGGCATCTCGTTTGCATATAGAAGATGCAGTCACCACATAAGGTGATCACTTGAGTTTAGATGTCAGAAAGCAAGCAGACCATACACACTATAGCTGCACAATATATAATTTCAGCATTGATATCGCAATGTATTTGCAATAGTCACATTCAATCTTGAGTTGGCATTATAGTTGACCAGAAGCCAGTTTGTTTGTTTTCTTGTTGTTTTTTAAGTGGAAGTCTGCCTGTGTTGTTAAAGCTTGTGACTATATGAATATTTCGAAGGGGTTTCAAACATTCAGGCACAAGAAATGCTACCATTTGTACCATTTAATATAGATACGTTTTATTTTATTATATCTACACAATGAAGACGATGCAGTGTTCTTTTGCATTTGATCTTTTCCTATTTCTGTACCTATTGTTTGACAAATTTATAAGTCAGCAATACTTTTAATTTGTTTATTATTTTTATGCATGATTCAATCCCATGTTGCAATTAATCTGAATTAATAAACACTTTCCAAAAGTTATTTAACGCATCTGATAAACCTTTATTAGAATCACACTATTTATTGCAGAAAACCAAAACATCGATATGTCTGATTTTTCCAATATCATGCAGGTCTGATACACACACATTATTATAGGAACTACCTATAAACATATTATACAGTACCAACTTTATAATTCATCCGTAAAACATGCCTCAACAAAAACCCTCAGCATTTTAACATTTTCATTCTGCAAGATGCAGAAGCTGTTTTCTCCATGAGGTTAAAAATGATGGTGTGAATATGTAGGTAATATCAGGTACACACGCACACCAATGCACACAGGGCTTACAATTAGCATTTCATCAAACCTGCCGCGGATTATAGAAAATGCAGAAGAATATATGCAACTAATATTGTGTATTGTGTTTCATGAAATAAAAAAAAATCAATAAGTGTCCATGAAGAACTTCATAATTATTTATGTATCCAAAACATTTTAAAATTAAAGAAAAAGCAAAAGGAAAAAAGTACCAATTCAATGAATAAGTGGATCATTACATGCCTACAGTATATATATATATATATATATATATATATATATATATATATATATATATATATATATATATATATATATATATATATAGTTTATTTGTACATATTGAAGTACATATTCTACATGATCTTATTGCACAACCCTAATCTAAAACTACTACCTAACTGTTCATAAGCAGCAAACTAGGAGTTCATTGAACTAAAATTGCAGTTAATGATTTGTAACAGCAGGAATAATACCTTAAAATAAAGTGTGATAAAAAAATTAAAAAACTCTGTTTTCATTCTGTTATGAAATGCTTCGGATGACAGATTTATAAATTATTCTCTTCACAAACTTGGCAGAATGTTTGGCATGTTGCCTTTTTTTACATATCTGAATGGAGAATTGAGATGTAGCAAAAGAAAATGAAAATAGGTATGATCATATTGCATGTACAGTACCTGACAAAAATCTAGTCGCTTATAACTGGACTTCTAGTTGATCACTTGGTATCAGAAATGGCTAATATGAAAGGCATAGGTAATTGGTGACTGGGCTGGCCAATCCTAGAGCACCTTGACCTTTGCTTTCAGGAACTGTGATGAAGAGGCTAAAGTATGAGGGGCGCTATCCTGCTGGTTGTAATGTAATGGGCAGCACAAATGTCTTGATAGCTCAGGCTATTGATGGTGCCATCCAGATCTCTCGCACACC